TTGATAAACGAAAATAGAAGCTTGCAGTCTCATTAAAATGCCCCATTAATGGTGATAAATGACTTTTTGTAGCACCTAAGCTTCTTGAGAATTCAAGTTCTTAGAAACAGGGGACAGGAAAAAGTCGTGCAGTTCATCTATTAGATGAGAAGGGGGAAGGATCTTCGATCAAATTTCACGCAGTTCGTATGCTACCCTTCTATGAATGTGAATATTGTATAATTGTAGAATGACTTGAACAAATATTCGTAAAACAGAAGTTAAGATACTTAAAACTGAAAAAAATTTAAATATTATTTCACAGTCATATTGCTCCAGATAGGTTTTATAGTATTCAAAATCTGATCATTTTCAGAGATCATAATTTTATTGACTTTTTTTCATTTTATTGTATCATTTGCAAACTGTTGCAGCTGTTATGTTTAATACAAATTTTATTTAATATTAAATTCTTAATATAACAATTCTTTGTCTTCCAGTGGAAACAATGTCTTCTTCGTATTTCCTTCCAATAAAAGAAGTGTCTTCTTTAGCTGATATGAAAAAATGGGAACAATCTGAAGTATAGTATACATAAATACTTTTTTTAAATAATATATGCTAAACTTTTTTGTTGTATTAAAGTCCAAAAATGAGACTCGTGGCAACAGTAAGCCACTGGAAGCATGTTTATTCAAAGCAGCTGAGATTTTTCTGAGAAATATGCAGTTAAGAACATTACAATTATTTTGCTTTTTTCTTAATTGGAAACTTTATTTAGTGTACCATATGTTGCAAATATCCTCTATAACCTATGATACAGTTTGTATATTTACTTTATGTGTGTTTGTCAACTTAGTTACTTAATGTATGTATTTTTTATTTCTTATTTTAATGATGAGTTTACAACTTAATGTTCATATATATAATATATCAACATAAATCAAAATATGTCGATATAAATCAAAATGACTTATTTTCCAAGTTATTGATAAAATGTGTAAGAATAAATGCATGAATCTCTTCACGACAACCGCTTGTGGCGTGTTGTAGTATTTACTGAAAGGGGCTAGGTGAGAGGAAAAATAATAAGCCTCTCTGATATGATCATGCATGGACAATGATGGTAGTAAATTCAGTATTGGTGTTTATTTTTGTATTTTATATAATTTTCTTTTCAGACATACTGGCCACTTTCCGAAGTGGTCACTTGAAGGGAGTGGTCATCATGATAGGGTTGATTGTATTTTGAATATGAAGATTAATGAGTACAATAATAGTTAAAATGCTCTGATGGATTTATGAAAACTGGATAAAGAGATCTTATTCAGTTTTCATTGTATGGTAAGATCAGAATGATCTTGCCATGCTATAAATCTTCAAATTACCATACTATAAATGACACTATCAATGATCTGTGTTAGAATGATCATACCATAACAAGTAAATAATTTTTTTAATCTGATGAAAGTCATAAAATGTAAATAATTAGTTAAAAACACTTTATTTCAAAAAGACCTTAAGTAAAACAGATTACTTTCCATTTTCGATATCATTAATAATTTTCAAATGATAGTATTCCACTTTGGAATAATGGGTATGATGTTTCACACTTGTACAAATGAGTGTCATATAACAGCATTGGAGGTTGCTTGCACATGCTTTGTAATGATTTCTTGTGTAAAAATTAGCTTTCCTTGCTGTAGTTAAAACTTGAAACTACTGTATGAACCTCTTAGCAGTTCAAAAAATTTCAAAAAAGCAATCCCCAAAATGTTTATTTATTTATTTATTTTTTAAATTGTTACAAGCAAACTGTATTTATGGACAAAATATGTGTAAAATATCATTTATTGGCCTAAAATTAAGCATGTACAATCAAACTTCTATTTAATAAAGCCACAGAACCATGCAAAAAACTTTGTTAAATGGAGGAATTCACAAAATGGAGGTTATGATAAAACATGATTTAAGATGAGAATTTTAAAAAAATTTTAAATGTAAAATAGTAGTAAAATGAAATATCAATGCAGAATTACATAACATATCCATATACACTATATCTATTCCATCAGAATTATGTATGAAAGTTACATAAATTCATTTCGAAAAATTAACAGTTACTTTAGCTGTTTTGTCTTTCAGAAACAACATGCATGTCATAATAAGTCTCACATCTTTGTAATGCACAGAAAACATCTTCTGATACACTTTCTTCAAACTGAAAACTGCTTTGTAAAGCATTAAACACATTTAACATATCTTCTGGTGAAGATTTTTACATTCATTTTCATTAGCATTTTCTTTTTCATAATTATCAATCATTTTCTGGCTGCAGTTTTTTATGCTCATTAGTATGTCTTCTTCAGTACAAATTTCTGAGTGATCTATAATTAAGTAATCTTGTAATTGTTTATTATTCTTTCGTTGACCTTGAGTTTCCAACTGCAGCAGCATATTATTCAACTCATATTCTTTATTGTCATCATTAACAGTACTATTATCAATAATATCAGCCAGCTTTTTTACTCTTTCCTGCAAGTAAAAGTTTAAATTTTTTATTGTCTCCCTAATTTACCAAATTAACAATCTTAAATTAGTTATAGCTGGAATTTTATCTTCCAGAGGTTTAACTAGCTAAAAATATAGAAATGCCTGTAAATTGCAAAACTAAAATATTATTGCAACTTGCAAATGCATGTAAAATTAAATGACAATAGCAGTACAGTAACTCTAACTTTGCTATGCTTGCTTCTAAAACATTATCCTTTTTTGATTGTTGATTTTATCTGCAATAAACATCAATAAAATAAACTGCTTTCATTGGCATGAAAGATGTCTTTTGACTTGCACATTTAAATGATTTCTTGGTTTTTTATCTTTCCATGTGATAGAGTCATCTTCATTATCATGTTTGCTTTCGCACATATGGATTTATGCAACTACTCCATGCCTTTTTTTGAGGTTCTCCAGCCACCCATTGTCCTAAAGCTTTGCCAAATTCTAAAATTTTTCCCAGTATCAATTGCCCTAACACGGGTACATTTTTCCCCCTCTCATTCTGTACAGCCAGTTTAACATTGTTTTATCTTTGTCTTCATAAATGCATGTTTTCTTATGTTTGGCACTTGCATTGATGGAATCAAAGCTCGAAGAAATTTTGTTCTGTTTTTTTTTTTTTAGGATTGTCAATAAACTATTGCACACATTACCAAGTTTTATGATAATGTCTTTCTTCTTTATACCTTTGTTCACGTCAGCAAGAATCAGTATTTTTTTCTTTAAGCATAAAACACTTTGTTTCGACATTTTTATCATTCAGTACAGAACTAATTTTAAAACGCTTTGCAGAGCAAAACCATAAAAAGAGGAAATAAAAATAATGTGCAGCTGTTGCTTAACCTTAAACTAGTTTGCAAAACAGGATTGCTTGCATTTTTAACAATAGGGTGGGTAAATACTTTCTCATTCAAGAATCTTCCTCTCCTTTCTTTATCCCTCACTTTGAATGTTTAAAAATTTTGTTAAATATATTGTGTATTCTTCTATTTGAAGTTTTTATAGAAGGAAATTCACACCTTGAGCAGAATCCTGCGAAATACTTTGTTTAATAGAGGAATTTGTAAAGTAGACTGTTTGTTAAATAGAGGTTTGACTGTGTACAGAATTAGATAACTTATTATTCTCCTTTTAACCCTTTGTTGCTTCATGTCCACTCTAAAAGACAAAAGTTTAAATTTGTTTATTCTTCTGTAAATGCCGTAACAGATTCCATTCCTGTGTTTTATTCATCTATATTATTAAACTTTCAAATGTTATTATAATGGTTTGTATAGCATCACTAAGTGAAGCATTGTTTATTTGGAAAATGGCTGCTAATTCTTTTTCCAAGTTAATACAATTTCTCATAGTAAACATTATATAATATTGCTTACATTTTCTATACTGCCATTTTTTTATTCATAATTAGTAATTTTAGACATTTTATTTTAAAGTCAGTTCGAAAAATTGTGGAGTGGGTAGATAAGATCTACCGAAAAAGTGAATTGAAACCCAAATACTGCTATCAATCCAAAACACCACTGTAAATTTTTTGGCAAGGAATTCTAGAACATTTGACATTTGAATCCAATAGTATAGGTTACAAAATCGTAGCAAAATGAATTCAATCACAATCGACGAAATGATGATATTTTGTGGGATCTGTATGTACATGTCAATTGTAGATTTAACAAGAATCATTTAGAAGATGGTAATGATCACTTCAAACAAGGCAGGAAATGATTTCAAATGCAATGACTGTAAATCGTTGGGAAGAGATTTATATGCACGTACTTATATGCATGCTGTCCACTGTAGTGAACAAATTGTAGCAATTATTTAAAACAAAATTTGAATAAAACTAATTTTTTTATTATTACTAAGATTATTTTAAGTAGAAAAAATACAAACATTTTCGTTTAACTTTTCTAGATTATTTGTATGCAACAAAGGGTTAATGTTGGCTTTTTTCACACAGGCTGGTATGACTAATAAACTTATTTTCCATTACTTGATAATATACATCTTGAAATTTCTAGGTCTAAGTTAATATTTCTGCTTGGTATGATATATTTTAAAACAGGGTACAATGCAAAATCCCACATTACAATCCTTGCAATAATATAATTTCTTTCCACATTCACTGCTGCTGTTGTCAGAATGATCCATTTTTTGTCCACACAAAAATTTAGTGATGTATAACTACATAAAATAAAACATGAAAGTTCAGTTATTAATTTTTCAGAATTATCTAATAAAAGCATAATAATTTTCTTTAAATCTTACCTAATCGAAACATTCATGGACTGTGATATACAGTATGCAATCAAAAGTATGCATTTCACTATGAATTGGGCGGCGGGATAAAGTTCATTATATGAATCAGCAATGCCATCTATGAATCAAAAAGTAAACTACAATAAATTATATGCAATAATCAGAAATGGGTGAGCTTTGAAAATGTGATACTGCATCACATCTGGGCAAATCATGCTGTATGCTGCATGCAAAATGCATTCATTACCTGTATGGCTTGCGTGCAAAACTAACAAGTGGGTAATATATTTTACTTTACATTATTTCATTTACTACGATAACATTTAATGAATATGAACTAAAATATAGCACTAAAAGTTAAATTAATTTTGCTTATAAGAACCATGAGAAAATTAAAATTTCTTACAATCTGCACCAGTAGTTTACAGCATATATAAAAGCAGTTAGTCCAGGTGTTCTCAACAAGTAGTAGAATTCCACCCTGAAGGTGATTTCATAGTTTTTGGGGGGATGCAATCAGCTTTTTATTTATCTGCTAAATATTTAGTTTGTGAATGTAAAAAACTGCTGTTATTAAAGTTTTGGTGTTTATTAACATTTTCTATACTTGTTTAATTTATAAATCATGTTAAAAATAATATAAATTTAAATAAATATGTATGTATTTTTCGAGTATTGAAAGGATGATGGAATGATCATCCAGCAATTGTAAAAGGGCTGCATGGGGAGGGGGGAGAGGAGATTGAGAACTACTGAGTTAAGAGTATAGGTGAAAAGCAGTTAGTCCTTCGTACTTACAGCTGACAAACTCCTTTTATTCCCACAAAAACTTGATTACACTCAAATAAGAGACACGTTTTCACAAGAAATAGAATTATATTCCTTTTAATATTCTTGAATGTTAATTGAAAGTAAAATATTTGAGAACTAGCTTAATCCTTATAGTTTATTGATGCACGCTACTGGCACAAAACTCCAAAAAAACATATTTTTGAAGAAAAGATAAAAGTTGGTATTGAGAATTATAAGACTATCCTAAAATGTCTATGTAACTCACCTGAGATCATCAAACATATTTTCAAGGCACTCCTAAATCTGTTAGTTGATATCAATGGAATACATTTCTAATCCTGTACTAATCACAAAATGTATTTGCAATTGTTTTCATAACAACAACAAAAAATTTTTATGAAAAAATTTTATTAATCAAGAAAGGTATCTTTGTCTAAATTATTACCTAGGATTAGGTGTGACATAGTCAGTTTTAAGTATTCCTAATATAGGAATATAACTTCACATTCCTATATCTATACTAATTTTTCCATTTTCATTCTGCATAATTGGTATGTTCAAAAATCCATGTTTAAATGACACTGAAGAGCATTAAAAAATACTTGCAAATGCTTTCATTACTTGAAGCAATTAAATTCTGCTGGAGGTAAAATGTAAAAAAAAAAAAAAAAAAAAAAAACCCTAGTTTCTTTAGTTGAAGCTCTAAATTCTGTAAACTGGCAAAATAATTAGATCATCTACATAATAATAAATTATTAACATTAGTAATATTCCACTAAATTTTGTTTTATTGAGATATTCATTAATCATCTCTATAGTTAATTTGTAATTTTATAGCAACCTTCTGCATCAGTATTTTTTCTTTAACTGATGAAACTTTGATAAGAATACAGCTGTTGTGCAAATCAGAAATCATGTCACAGATGGTCATCTTCTCTTGAGTTGATAACCTTCGCATCACACAATTGTGGAACTGGAACTATGTGTAATTAATTGTCTTAGGAGCAGTTCATTACATTTGTGTAGTTTCATAAATAAGCAAATACCCGTTTTTAGTTAAGTAAACTCTGAATGCGTATATTATGTAACATTAAATGAAATAAAAGTAGTTAATAAATGCCTGTAATCCAATAAATAAATTTTTATGCCATATAATATATAAATATATATATATAAATATACATATTAAAGGTATATTAGTATAATTTTTGGGTTAGACATTTATTAACTAAGTTCCTATTTTCTTAAATTTTTCCTATGGCATTTTCAGAATATTGATTTAGAATGCTGCACTAAAGTCTTTTTGTATGATCTATTTCTTCAATTATTAAAAATAAAAGGGGGCTAAGAAAGAGAAAAAAAGGAAAGGGAGGGGAAAAGAAAAAAAATGCTGTAATTTCTTTTCCTTCTCAAGTTTGTAGTTTATGCATATTTACAGTTTCTCATTTTTTTTTTGGTCATTAATGAAAAATCTGTTTACTTATCATTAAAAAAAATTTTTTTTTATCTGCTTCATCTTGTTATAAAGCATATTTTGGCTTCAACTAAGATACTGTAACTCAAATCAACATTAGTAGTACTTAAAGCAACTATAAAAAAAAATGAAAAAGTAATAAGATTCTAAGAGTTGTTATTTTGGAATTAAGGAAGTGTAACCTTTTTATGGTCATCAACGAGTTCAGCTCCCATTCTAGTTATACGCCGCAGTGGACGCAAATAACGCATCTCATATTACTGACAGATTTTGCACATATTTGAGACAAAGAATTGCTAAGTCCTTTGATTGCCAAAGGGTTGTAGAAATACCTAGAGTTACTGGGCATATTGAATTTCATCCCTGTTGTCAAAGGAAGCTGAGATGGCTTCGTCAGTATTTAAGCAATTTGAGATAAACAGAATTTATTCAGATGGATGAATTTTCACTGGAACAAATGCTATCTTGTTTTCTGTTTATCATCTCTAATTTGCATTTACCATGGTGAGAAGCTCATAACGAAACATGAGCTACGAGAGGGCAAAACTGTGTAATGCCCTTTTCTTATAGATGAGAACAGGCTATACTTTTTTCATTACAAAGATAGTTTAAAAGAAATTAAGTAACAGTGTAATATCAAAAAGACTATTCAAAGATTAATTTATCAATCAGTGCATTTCAAAATTATGAAATATTTTAAGGCTCTTTTGATTTTGTTTACAGCTCTTAAAAGTGGCAGTGTGCATGAATATGGCAGTTTTCTGCATGTATGAATGCAATACTACTGTTATTAAAGTTATGCAACATTTTTGCTGTGTCCAAATTTCTGATGCAGTTGTATTGTTTTTATATTTGCCGGGAAATCTTTTGTGGAGTTCCAATTACCCTATAGCAGAGGTGACCAAAGTTCATATCAGTAGGCAATCATTTGAAAAGTCAAGGATATTTGAGGCTGCAACTAGATATTTATGGGATTTAAAAAGTACTTAACCAGTTTTTTTGGTACTCTCTTGTTAATGAAGCCACCATGCTTAGATTCTAGACTTACATCGTCACTTTTGAAATTGAGTGACATTTGAAATTTACACTTTTCAAATTGGAAAACTTAAATTTGTATAGTGCAGATTTCAAATAACATCAAAGGTTTGTGTGATGACACTTCAACAAAGTACTGAATGTTTTATTTTTTATTATTATTTATAAAAAGAAAGATAATAAGTTAATAAGGATTTTACATTTTGTAATTAATTTGCTTATAAATGAGTAAATAATTTTTATTGCTCCTTTTTTGTATTCAGGGATGATTAATACAGAAATATAAAACTTTTGTATGATGTACTGAAAGTTCTTTTTTTTAGAATGAAAAATCAAACTTCTTGTTTTCAGTTTTCTATATATTTATTTTTTTCTAGTTATTATTGTCTACTAATTTTGATAGAAGTAAACTGAAATTGAATAAAGAGGTGTTGGTCTTTGCAATATATCATGTAAAGTATGTTAAAACATAAACATTCATTCTTTAAAACCATATTACTGAGTAATTCTGTGTTTGTAAATGAATGGTAAGATACAGCGTTAGTTTTGTCAATTTTGATTAGTTTTTTTTTCATTTGAAACAATTTAATGCCATCTTTTTCAACTCAATTTAATTTGTTTTAATTATTTGTAGTGTATTGTAATTAAACACGATTTATTCAAATGCTTCTAAAATTTTATTTCAGGCGTATCATGAATATATGGGATTTATATTAGCTATGAATGAAGCAGTAAAAGGAAAAAAAATATCAGATGTAGCTGTAACATCAGAAGTAAGTTTGAGTAATTGCTGCTTAATGTATAAATAATAATTGTTTAAAAATGGTTCAAGAATCTGTCGCTCCATTTAACGACTTGCGCTACGACTAAACTTCATGGTTGCGTCTCCTTGCGCTACAATATAACAAGCAGTAAAGTGTCTCATTTATGCTGCTCCGCGTCTGCGAGTGCAATCCAGAGCTGTAACTCGAGGAATAAACAATCTCGTTGCTAGGCGACGTGTGCACCACGTTATTTTCAATTTTGTGATAAATGCCTATCGACGTGGTGTTCACGTCGCTCGCAGTTTGAGACAAAAGCATCTCGACATGCACAGCACGTCTTTTTAGCGCAAGTGGTTAATTAATTAATCCTCATAAAATGCATTGTTAAATAAAATTATATTAATTGAACATAGAAAATGCACATAAAATACTGTTAGTCATCTGTAACAGGTTTCTATTCTCTCTGTCATTGTCATCAATGATGGTAATCCAAGAAGGCATTTCTTGTTCACAAATTATTTATTTATTTACAAATAAGAAGAAGTAACTAATTTAATATTTACCATACATATTTTTAATGAATCTTAAATTGCCTGTCATAAATGACAAAGGTGCATGTCTGCAGGATACCATGCAGTTCCAGCATATAATTTTAATGAGTGAACGTCTGTGGTAATCGTGCAGTCATCCAGTTGCTGTCCAAACCCTCACTGAATCATCCCTTGCCACAATCAATCGCCAAAAGAAGCTGTGTAGCTTTTCTCTCAAATGTAAGAGGGAGGGATGTATCAGACATTACCCCCAACCTAAGATTGTGGTGAAAACCCAAGATTACATATCTGATAATTGTTTGATACATAGAAATATTTCCATTATCAATTTCATTTAAATCTCATCAGTGCAATGTTATACAATACAAATTTCAATCTTGATCATTACATTCATCAATATTAAGTTAATAATTTTTCGTACCAAGATAAATGAAGAAAAAATGTCTGTAATAATTCACAGAAATCATAGCATATATCATATCGCTAATGCATCTCAGCATAAAATATCTGAACATAAAATATCGAAGTATAACATTAAAATTCAATTAAAATATACTTAGCACAATTATTCGATAAGAAATCTTATGTCCATTGGATCTGTAAAATAAAAAAAGATAAGTATGATTATTCAATATAATAAGGTATGTGGTTATATCATGATGTTAAGTTCCCACTTAGTGTTTTTTACTCAAATATAAAGTCACTTATTTCAATATAGTTCGCTTAGTTCAAATATAAAGTCATACATAGAGCCACATAAACTGTCCACATAGTCCAGCATGAAATCACTTAATTCAAAATTGATGTCACTTAGGATCATAAGAGTCTCATCATAAAGGCACAGATAATCAGTAGGACTATAGTACATCAGTCCTGTAGCGGTAATCGAGACAAAGCATCAACATTATTAATCTTTGCTCGCAGGCAATGTGACATAGTTATGTCATACTTTTGGAGGACTAATGCCCAGTGTTGTAGGTTGGATGGTTAAGGAGCGTTTTTAGTGATAAATGCAAGAGGATCAGTGATCAATTCGATATGTCAACCAAAGGTACAAGGCTTGAATTTCTTCAAACTCCATATCACTGAAAATGCTTCTCTCTCTATTGTTGGCCATGCTTGCTGAGGTTTCATTGTTTGCCTCTCTGCACTGGTAATTCGAAACTCTTGACCACGATGCTTAGCTGCATCATTCTCTATGTGTGAAAGCATTTTTGCTTTCAAAGTAAGTTACAGGTCGCGTTCTTTGGCTAAATCATTTGGAGTGAACCAGTTATTTCCTTGACTTATTTTTAAATGGATTGATGTTTCCTTATTTAATGTTTCCATTAATTAATTTAAAGTTTAAAAATCTTCAACTTTTCTTAATTTACAATAATAATTTCATGTTGCTTTTAACCTTGAGGCAAACTGAATATGTGTTTTATTTCTAAAATTTTCTAAACATATATCTGCTATCAGTTAAAATCCTCTAAGAAGATTGATTTTATGCATTCATAATATTTTTCATTTTTAATGTATATTAACAGATTCGCAGCTTTTTCTCCATATTTATTTTTCTAAGGGATATTTCTAATTTTATGTCTGTAGGAATGCTCTTAATTTTGAATGCTTTTTCTAACGAGGTAAAGAATAAGTTCCAACTCTCTGGGCATTGCGGTATGGGAATTCCCAGTGTACAAACACTTTTTATCATATCATCTAATGGTAATATTCTTTCAGAATGAGAATTCCTACTTGCATTGTGTGTACTTTGGATATAAGCCATTTCTAATTGATTCTCATGCTGCAGTCTTAATTTCTCTAATTCCAGAGGTCTGTCTTCACATTTAAGCTTATCTGATTGTGCTTTTTAAAATTTCTGTAACAATTTCCACATAGGCATCATTCTCACATAACTTTGCATAATAAATTTCCTTAGATCCGCTATTGTCAAATTAGGAGTAACAGCCTGTCCTAATTCTTCCATGGCAAATATTAAGTGTTCTTTCCTTATTCCTTTTAGTGTAAACATTTTATCATATTTTCATGTAGCAATAATATAAGAAATAAATATTGTGATAAAATTAATGCCTACCTCTATCTTTTTGATGGCAATCACAACAAATCTCGCTCCTGACACCAGATGTAGCGGATTTCTGTTCTCTCTGTTGTTGTCATCAATGGTGGTAATTCAAAGAAGCACTTCTTGTTCACAAATTATTTATTTATTTAGAAATAAGAAGTATCTAATTTAATATTTACACTTGCACACCCACACATATATCCAGATGCCTCTTGACAACCAAAGGAATTGTCTTCTTGCTCGCTTCAAATATTCACAATGTTTATGCATTTCCGACCATCGCATAAAAGAAAATTAAACATCCAGAGTGCTTTGAAGGTCAACAACCCTTATCAGTGAAATAGTGTTTTGTGCTCTTTTGCGTTTTTCAGTGCTCTTATTCAGAGAAGGGAATAATATCACCAAAGTTAAGATGTTGAAGTGTATTAAATTCCAAAGCCAAAATTTTTAATTGAGTGAACTACGTTTTAAAATAACTTTGCATTTATAAGTAATTGTATTGTTTTATGATTTATTGATGGTAATATTTTGCTTAAATCATTTTAAGATGAAAGTTAATAATTTAAAAATTTTACAATTTATTTATAGTGTATTTTGTATATTGGGGCATATAAAAAGTCTCCATGTTTTTTTGGTACATTTTTTAAACAAAAATTTTCTTTATTGAAAATCACTTTTAATCAAGCACATATTGACCATTATTATCTGTGACCTTTTTGCATTTTATGGGTAGCTTCATAATTCCATCAGTGTAGAACTTCTGTGGTTTATCATTGACAAACTTGGCCAAGTGATTTTCAGCGGTGCTTCGGCCGGCCAATTTTTTACCATCAAGAGAGTATTGCAGAGACCGAAACAAATAGTAGTCAGATGGTGCAAGGTCCACAGTGGATGCACCAAAACTTCTCAACCAAGTTCTGTCAATTTCTTCCGAGTCCTCAAAGATATATGTGGCTGCACACTGTTGTGATGAAACACAACCCCCTTTCTGTTGGCCAATTCTGGTCACTCCTAAAGTTATGTTGAGTTTTTGGTGGGTCCAGTCCCATCAAACACTCAACATAACCTTGTTTGGTAACAAAATTCAGGCTCTGAAGCCATTTGTGGAGGGTCACCAGCCTTTGAACATGATCACTTTCATTTGATATTCTTGTTTTCACCCATTTTTCATCACCTGTAATGCTTTACTTCAAAAATGGTTCGATTTCGTTGCATTTCAGCAGCATTTTACGGATGGCAATTTGATCAATCAGCAAATTCAAATGATTCCAAACTGTCATGTGGTTGATGTTTAGTGCTTCGCTATTTCCTGACAGCTTGCGTGGCAAAATTTCATCAACCTTTTTCAGTCGACGAGAGCAAGGTGCAGTTTTGACATAAAAATTTCTGGAACGGAATTGAGCAAATTGCTTTTGGGTCCTTTGTTCACACACAGCATTCTCACCGTACAGTTCACAAATTTTTTAGCGTGTTTTTGCAGCATTTTAACCTTTTTTATAGTAAAAAAAGCATCACATAGCACATTTTTTTATTGGGTTGGCAACTAAGTAATTGCGGATTTCACTCATAGATGGCTTCAGTTGAATTTTTAGGGTTGCAGACATAGTACAAATGTAAAACACATTTTGTTATTTGATCAGCTGTCAATCAGCAATTCAGCTGTCAATCAGTAAAAAAAGTTTTTTTGATCGGTTGCGTAGATTTCGTTTGTCGTTCGTCAAAAAATGGAAAATAAAAAGGAACATTTTCGTCATATTTTGCTTTTTTATTTCCGCAAAGGGAAAAACGCATCGCAAGCTCATAAAAAGTTATGTGCTGTTTATGGTGACGAGGCCTTAAAAGAATGGCAGTGTCAAAATTGGTTTGCCAAATTTCGTTCTGGTGATTTTTCAAAGATGAAAAACGTTCTGGTCATCCAGTTGAAGCTGATGACGACCTAATCAAAGCAATAATCGATTTCGGATCGTCACAGTACAACATGTGAGATTGCAGAGAAAAGCTTCATGTATCCACATATACATGCATTGAAAATCACTTAAAACAACTTGGCTATGTTCAAAAACTCGATACATGGGTTCCTCACAAAACTGAAAGAAACGCATTTAACGCAACGCATTAACAGCTGCGATTTTCTAAAGAATAAACGTAATGAAAATGATCCATTTTTAAAACGACTGATAACTGGCGATGAAAAATGGGCTTGTTTACAACAATATCAAGTGGAAAAGATCGTGGAGTGGAGAAGGCCTAGGTGAACCAACTCAAACAACATCAAAAGCCGATATTCATCAAAAGAAGGTTTTGGTTATCAGTTTGGTGGGATTACAAAGGAATTGTCTACTTTGAACTCTTACCACCCAACCGGAACGATCAATTCTGATGTCTACATTGAA